TTAGGGCCTGAGTTGTCCTAATATAGTAAATCTTAGGTCCAGCTATATGATATTTACTATACAGACAGTAACAGGATATAACAGTAATATTTTTAAAGTATCCAATGATTGAACTCAACAATGAAAGTAAAGAACAAAAACCGGAGATGCCACCTTGATATAAGTGACAGAATTGGACCAGCTATCATGCCCACTATTATGTATACTAAGGATAGTCTTAGAATAGGAGAAAAGGAGACAGTATAATCTAAGAAACGAAGTACATTACCACTACATTTCTGTTTCCTGAATCATTATTCCTGCTGTAAAATTTTATCTTTGTTCCTACAAAATGTACAAAAAGGTGTTGATAGTATTTGGAAATGCATCAAGAAGACAAAATCATCATATATTTTAGATAGCTCTAACTATTTAACTGCAGTATTGAAAATAAATACATTAACATGTATGTATTTCAGTTAATGAAGACTTTAGAGTCTGTACTTCCATAAGGAAGAAGACTATTGAGAAATCTTTGACTCATGAGCCTGGGTGAATCTAAGATGTTTGCATAAAATTTGGTATAATATGACTATGTAGTTGATTAGAAATTTTCTGGAAGGGAAATTTGTTCTATGTCTTAAATAATTGGTTAATCAAATTTTTCTCTGAAGTTTTAATCTTTGATCAGTGAACTGTATTACGGGTCAGAACCAAAGGAAATATAGTGAAATGTGATTCTTTACAAGACAGATATAATTTACTCAAAAGATAGTTTCTCAGCATTATAAAGCATTGTACAGTTAAAGTATCTAGCAGTTATGCTTTACAACTGTAAATATCTAATGCATACAAAATTGTTTAGATTTTATTAAATTATAAAATATATCATTTTGTGGTATATATGGATAATATAGAATTGAGTAGGTATTTTACAATCCTACTAGTATATTGGATTGTTTATATTTGTTAAAAAATATAAGAACAGCTTTCATTTTGGGTTAATATCTCAAAAATATGACTCTAGTCATACTTTTCTGTAATTTTGTATTTCTCTATTGTGGAAATGTATTTCAAACTTCTCCAATGTATTTGCATTTGTTATATCATGTCCTCCTAAAAAGCACCCTAGCTTGAAATTCACTAACTGGTAAATTAATAAACTATTATTTGGCCCTGCAATTTATATGTCTTGGTACTGTCTAAGAACTCTATAGATGTGCTCATCAGTTTTAGGCGGATAATAGTGAACTTGGATAGTTACTGATGGTAGTTTGATTGAAGTGATGACCCAGATTTGTTCACACCTTTCTGAATCCATGCCATTTGTTAGTGTCCTTTAATTCAGACTGTGGGCTTGACCATGAGATTTGCTTTGGCCAATAGGATAGTAGCAAGCAGAACACGATGCAAGCTCACTTGAAAAGCACTTCTACATTAGTACTTATCATTATGTTGTGCTTCACATGCTGCCACTGCATAAATTATTGGCTCTAGCTAGCCTCTAGATGGTAAGAGACACATGACTCAGCCATTCTCATTACCCCAGCAAACTGGAAGCCAAACTGTACACCAGAGTGAGGCCATTCTAGATCATGCAGCTTCCAACACTAGCAATCTCAGGTAAGATTTGCAGAGCTTCACCTGATCAGCAAAACAGCCCACCTGACCTGCACTGTGAATAATATCTAGTGGTTGTTCTTTATGCAACTACCCTATGGGTTGGCTTGCTGCACAGCAATAAATAACTGGTACAACAAGTATAGGAAGTAGATAGCAGAACAAAATTATTTCTCCAAAGAACATTAACATTTCATATCATATACCTGTTGTTATATGAAAATCCTTTGTGAGTAACTGGATTTTCAGTGTAGGAGACAATCTTTGATATGACCCTCTTTTTTTTTTTTTTTTTTGAGATGGGGTTTCGCTCTTCTTGCTAAGGCTGGAGTGCAATGGCACGGTCTTGGCTCACTGCCACCTTCGCCTCTCTGGTTCAAGCAATTCTCTTACCTCAGCCTCCTCCCACCTGTAGCTGGGATTACAGGTGCCCACCACCACGCTCAGCTAATGTTTGTATTTTTAGTAGAGATGGGGTTTCACCATGTTGGCCAGGCTGGTCTCGAACTCCTGACCTCAGGTGATCCACCCACCTGGGACTCCCAAAGTGCTGGGATTACAGGCGTGAACCACTGCGCCCGGCCAATATGACCCTCTTTTTATACTTGACCTTATAGATAACTCAAACATGTATCAAACCAATAAATAAATATTAGACACCATATTAGTGCCTGGCCCAGCACTCGATGCTTAGAATGTAATGGTTAAAAGACTCCTATTTTCAGGTTCATTGGGTAATTATAATACATTCTGTAGTACTTGCCATGGAAACTTCTTTGCTCTTCAAAGTGAAGCTGAATTCCAAAGTTAACTCCATTTGTGTATTTCAATATTTCTGGCCTTAATCTTTATCTTCTCCCAGAAATTCTAGATATGTGATACTCATTAGTTCTGTTTATATCTTTAGTTCTCCTTCTTTTGGAGAATAGGATAACCTTGCACTTTCCCAAATGTGGTAGACTACAAAAGTGGCCACAAATTATTTCTTTCTCTCTGTCCAAATCCCTTTGTAATGTGACTTGCAGATCCTTCTATTAAGAGGTAGAATGTATCTCCCCATATTGACTCTGGGCTTGGCCATGTGACTTGCTTTAGCCATTGGGACCAGAGCAAATATGACTCAAACCGAGATTTGAAAAGTGTTTGTGCATGGGTACTTCTTCTCTTGCAGCACTTTGGATCCCTCTGACTGCCACCATGTGAATAAGCTAGGGCTAGAGCTGGCCTCTTGATGATACTTGGCCTCATTGCTGTGTGTTCCCAGCTGACAGTCAGAGAATCCTCAGAAACAGGGCTGCCTTGCTGACAGGCAGCTGACCACAAACACCTGAGTGAGTCCAGTAGAGGCCAGCAAAAATGTCCAGCTGAACCTAGCACAAATTTTCATTCCACAGAATTATGAGCTAAATGAACAGTTGGTGTTTTAAGTTGTGGGGTGGTTTGCCCTGCCCTCAAAGCTTTCTAATATATAACTCCTTAAAAGTCAGGCATGACCATAAAATTTGCTTCATCTATTGAAATGTGTCGCTTCTGGCAGAAGCCTTAAGAGTTGGACTGTGATTTAGCATCATCTTTCTCGTTATGGTGACTGGGGAGCTTCCAAACGGCATAGCCCCAGAAGCCTCAGTCCCTGGATGGATATGAGGCTTATAGGGTTCATGTTCTTTCCATCCTTTTCCACACTGACCTTTGGAAGACGGATAGTATACTATGAAATAAAACTTTTGTATTAAGTTTTGTATTAAATCACTGAAGTTTTGAGTTTGCTAGATTTTGGGTTTGTTACTGGAGCAGAACATAGCACATTCTAACTAATGTATAAACTGGCACCCAGAAGGAGGTACAGTTATAACAGAAAATCTAAAATATGTGGCTTTAACTCAGAGGCTCACTGGGTGGTAGCAAGGAAATTGTCAGAGGCTGGAAAGTTGGAGATGCTAACTGTCGTAAAATATTTGCTGAAACGGTTCCTGTGTGTCTCCCATTTTTCTCCTTTCTAAACAGGAATGTTTACCATATGCTGTGGTTTGAATTTGTCCACGAAAAAGCACGTGTTGGAAACATAAACTCCATTTCAACAGTGTTGGGAAATGTGGCCTAATGAGAAGTGATAGGCTATGAGGGCATAGTGAATGGATTAATGCCATTATCAAGGGAGTGGATTCTTTATAGCAGGAGTGGGTTCATTATAAAAGGATGAGTTTGGCCCTTTTTTACTTATTTGCCTTCTCTTTGCCTTTCCACTGTGGGGCCATGTAACAAGAAGGCCCTTGTTAGATGCCAGTACCCTGATCTTGGACTTTCTAGGCCCCAGAACTGTGAGCGATAAACGTCTATTCTTCATATAAATTACCCAGTAAGTGGTATTCCATTACAGCAGCAAAAAATAGACTAAGACACCGTGTCTATTTGTTCCTATTCCATCACTGTGTGTGTGTGTGTGTGTGTGTGTGTGTGTGTGTGTGTGAGAGAGAGAGAGAGAGAGAGAGAGAGAGAGGGAGAAGAGAAATTGCAAGGGAGAGAGATCGGGGGAGGATACCTTATCTTTTTAGTTGTCTATAACAAGAGCAGCTTTATCCAGTTCCAATATGGAGACTACCAAGCATCACCCAGAGATGCTAGGCTTTGAGATTAATGCCTTTACTGAACAGAACTTTTGGATTGTCTCACTTTGTGATAGGAGCAAATCTATTTTGTAGTGTAAAGAAAGTGAACTGTAAACTGGTGACTAGAAAGATAGATCACAGTAATCCTTGATACTATTTACCAATAAATTCTGGTTATCTTCTTTTTGCACATATAATAGGATCGCACTTCCCTGCTCCCTTTTTTACATGCCCATATAATTTGCTTTGGTCAGTGAAACGTGAGAACTGACTTGTATCGCTTTTAGGAAGAACCAGTTTGCCATTCTTCATCTTCCTTTTGCCTATTACACAACGGGGGACGTTCCACATGGAATGAAGCCCCCTCCTCCTGCCACCCAGAGATGAACATGTAAATAAGCAGGAAATAGTTTTTAGTTGTTGTTTTAAGCCACTAAGATTCTTGGATCATTTATTACTGCACCATAATTTTTCGCATCCTAACTAATGTAGATTACTATAAAAGCGATCAGGAAAACTGCAAAGGCTGATCCTCGTGGCAATTATGAGTGGAAGTGGTTAACTGAAACCATCCACTGACAATTCCAAGATCACCTTCACTAGTGATTTCACCTGCACTCCAATTGTGACCGTTCTAGAAAAGGTGATTATGCGTTCAGACTTTATTATTTTTAACTTATGAAAATGTAAAATTACATCTTCACTACTGAAGTCATAATGAGCAAAGAAATACTTTCTCATAGGAAGAAAAAGAAAGAAGGTGGTTAAGGATAAGCCACAAAACATGGAAGGTGGTACTGAACTCAGAATTTACGAGATTTCCAAGAAGAATTAAACATATTTCCCACAGACTTGTGAGTAAATTTCCAGACATACACAGTACTTCTTAGCAAACGTTGGGTGGCTTAGCTTCGGCTTGATCAACTGCACGTATACGGAAACAAACGCACAATCGCTCTGGTGCAAAAGTAAAAACTCTAATTGGAGTCTGTATTTAAACATAAGATTTCTCTCTCGCTCTCTCTGAAGAAGTTATTTTCTCTAGCACGGCGTAGAATTCATTCCATAACATTTGTAAAGTGCTTAATCCCGCGTCACACACTGTACTAGGGTCTAGTGAGTGACAGATGTCACGGTACAGAGGTCTCAGTGGGTCGCTGCCCTCCAGGAGCTTATAAAGAAAATTTTCCTTCTGCAGTTTTCAGCCGGCTACGCCCAGTTCCCTGCAAGTAATTTTCAGTGTAGAAAACCCGCATCTTTTTCCTAGTCCTTGTAAGGATTCTCGCTTTCCGATATCTCTTCGCCTTGAAAACCGAAGTCACTCCGGGATCTCTCTCAGGACGTTTGGCAGTTATTCCAGATGTAGGCGAATGACCGGCTTGCCCTTATCCCTGCGGAGTGACAAGAAGACAGAGACCCCGGAAAGTTTCCAGCACTTAGAACACAAAGCGAAGCCTGAACCCACAAGGGGCCGACAACTCTTGCGGCTGCCACCACCCTTCCATCGCGGAGCCTGAGGAAGCTAAAGCAGTCGGGTCAGAACCGGCCACCCGGGCAGCGCACGGTCCCGGGCGCAGGGAGCCACAGGCTCAGCACCCCCAGCGGCGCGGCGCAGAGAAGTTCCAGGCCAGCCTGCAAACCCGAGTGTGGAGGGGGGAACGATCCTTTCTTTTGGACTACAATGACCGGCAAGCAACGCGCCACGGCGCCAAACTCGGCTTCGGGATCCTGGCGCAATGAAGCCTGGGAAGTGAAGTCTCCGGACTGTCGGAGTCCCGTAGTGAAGGCAGAAAGTAGGCGTTGCTAGTCCGCTCCACTAGCACGCCGGTTCCTGGCTGGGCTCCGGGTCTCTCGCTCCCGCTCAGGGTTTTCGCGGGCGGCAGGAGCGGTATGGCTCGCCTGAGTAAACTCCAGCGGGAGGGGGAGGAGGGTAGTGGGTGGGGAGGCGGGGTCAGCGGAAGCTGCAGGTTGCTTCCTTCTCCTCTGGCTCCCTCCCCGCCTCTCCCTGAGGGAGCGGTGGGAGGGGGAGGGCAGGGCAGAGGGAAGGTAGTGACACGTGTCAATCAACCCCCCTCCGGGGGGCGCGCGCTCCGGGGCTCGCGCCGAGGGCTCGCGCCCCTGCCTCGTGCCTGCGCTGCTCGTATGTAAATGAGGGCGCGTGACGCGGGACGCAGATGGACAAGGGAAGAGAGAGAATGGCCGCTGCCGCCGCCGCTGCTGCCGCCGCCGCCGCCGCCGCTCAGTGCCGGAGCCCTCGGTGCGCGGCGGAGAGGAGAGGATTCCGGCGGGAACTCGACTCTTGGCGCCACCGCCTCATGCACTGTGTAGGTAAGAGAGACGCGGGCCGGGGCTCCGGGCTCCGCGCGGCGACGGCTGTCGCAGCCCGAGGAGTTTGTGGCTGAGGGGTTTAGTTGAATCTCCCGTTCGGGTTAGTTCGGTGGGGGAGCGAGATGGGAGCGGCGCGGCGCGGCGGCCCCGGCGCTCGCCTTTTGTCTTGCGGGCTGCTGGCCCGGCGCGGTCCGCCCTCCTTCGCCTTCCCAGCTCTTGGGCTCCCCGGGAACTGTTAGTTCGGACCCGCTTGCTGAGCCCCCGCGGAAGCAGCCCGCTAGCGCTCTCCCCGTAACTCCTCGGCGCCCGTCGCTGCCCGCAGTCGCCCGCCGTCCACCCTGACAGGAGGGAGGAAGCGGCCCGGTGGGTCGGCGCCCTGGCGGAGGGGAGCCGGCGGGCAGGGCGGCCGGAGGAAGGCGGGCTGGTCCGCGCCCCCGCCGAGCGCACACACACCCCCTTCTCGCCGCCGGGGGCCGGGTGAGCAGACGCGGCCAGTTCCTGGGGACCTGGACCTGGAGACCCCCCGGGCGCTCGTAGGGCGGGGGCCGCGGATGGGCCGGCTGGGGGCGAGGGGCGGCGGGGGCGTCGCCCGAAGGGCGGGGGGCGCCCAACTCTGCCCTCTCGCGCTCGGCGGCGGCGCTGTGTGTACCCCTTTAAGAAGGAGCCGCTTGAGCGCTGACGGTTGGGATTTGAAGTTCTTCCTCCCTCTTTGGAAGTCTGGACGGATGGGGGGTGTTGCCACGGCAACGACACCCTCCCCCCCTTTTCTGCTTGCGGACGCCCCGACGACTCTGGTGCTCTTTCACTGTCATGTGATGGACTCTTCCTTACACACACACACACACACACACACACGCGCACACGCATCGCCCTCCCCACCTCCCATCCCCATTCAACTGCTATTCCCTCTTTTTGATTGGATATGAATCGTTTTGCTTCAAACTTCTGGGCTTGGGGCTGTCACCCTGTGGATTGTTTAGGGTGACAGGAATGGTGGGACTCCCGACCTTGCTGCAGTCGCTTTTTTTTTTTTTCCCTAAGTGAGACGAATGCATAGAGCTGTTATCCAGCAGGTTGGTTTAGTGGGCTTAGAGGGGCAAAAACGGCTTATGGAATGGGGCGCATAGTGGGTGTTTGTTTTGGGAAGGGGTTATGGGTGGGAGTGTAGGGGAAGAGGTAGAAAGGAAGGTTGTATTGTGTAAGCAGTGGATAGTGGCAGCGGCTTGCTCTACTGGCGAGTGAATCTTGGCATTTGGAGTTGGGGAGTAACCCTAGTGTCTTAAGAAAACAACTCTCTTACCTGGTTTCCATCTGCTCTGGCACCACCTCGCACCCCCGACCCCGCCTCCCATGTGTTTGGTAACGCCTTAAGATCTTTTTTTCACTAGTGGAAAGGAGATCGTATTAGTTAAACTTAATACAATTTCAATTCAGAAATGTGTACCGCAGTATGCATTGAATGTAAGAAAATGTACGAGAAGGGAAGGTTACTTTAGGGGGCATTTAAGTGATGTTTAAATAATTTACTGCTTTTGTTTTACCCTTACGAGAAATGTATTTTGGTCTTCTCTAAGGAAAGACGATGAGAAATAGCTTTAGTCAAGTATTCATACGTAATTTTAGTTTATGAAGTGTAAAAAATCTCTAGGTATTCTTTATATAAATTGTTTAAAAAACTATTGTTGTTTGTGCTTCTTGAATACAAAATGGACTGTTTTTGTTAATTGCTTATGTAAAGATCTCTTCTGGACACCAATTTAGAATTACTGAGCTCATTTAGGTAGAATTAGGTAGGATGACAGCTTTGCAACACTAGCTTATGATATTACTGTTAAGTTTTGCCAAGGCACAAAGTGATTTGAGGATGTCTTTTTATGTTTTGGAATATTTTGGGGTTTTTTTTTTTTTTCCTGATCTTGCTTATTTAGATACATTAAGTATAGCTTTGCATCATAAAAATATATAGACCTTTGAAAAATAGTCAAACTTTAAATGAAACACAGTTAATTGGATTTGATGGAAAAGGGAACTAGAATATCTTTTTGCCTTATCTACTTGTATATTCAAGTAAAATTGGAAGACATTGAAAGTTAATACTGTATTACACTTTTAATGCAATATGCGATTACATTGTATCGTATGTGAAAAGAAATTTTGTCCCTGGCTTCTAACTATATTTGAGAATTGTTTCCCACAGTCCCCATCCTAATTAAGCCCTATTAAAACCTGTCTCATATTTTGTTTTTGTTATTTGTTTATTTATTGAGATGGAGTCTCACTCTGTCGCCCAGGCTGGAGTGTAGTGATGCGATCTCAGCTCACTGCAACCTCCGCCTCCTGGATTCAAGCGATTCTCCTGCCTCAGCCTCCTGAATAGTTGAGGTTACAGGCGCCTGCCACCATGCCCAGCTAATTTTAGTATTTTTAGTAGAGACTGGGTTTCATCATGTTGGCCAGTCTGATCTCTAACCCCATTGTTATTTAAAAATAAACAATAACATCCATTTAAACAGAGTATACACTTGTTGATTGGGCTTTTTTAGCATCTTAGGTGTTAAGCACTTAATTTATAGTGCGAATTGGGATTAAATGGAGTTTAGATAATTACCTTTTGCTGTTAATGTGCCTTACATTCATTACTTTGTAAACATATTTACAAAAAAGCCATATTCTTTTCCCTTTGCATGTGTATACATGTGTGAATATATATGCGTACACATATGTGTATATTCAGTGTGTATATATATAATATTCGGTGCTCTCATTGCTTACAGCCATTTTTACAAAATAATATCCTTCTTGCCTTTTGGGGAAGGAAGTAATCCAAACGTCTTAATTTTAAGTGAGATACGGAATTGTAGGCAGCATCTTAGGGTTGTACAGCAAATTAGTATTGAGCCCCTAATGAGATTTTGAATCTCAGTTCTTAGCCTAACTCTGATTCATTTTATAACTCATATAATATTCTAATTTTATAGGGAAGAAAGTTGTTTTAGTTGTCATGACTGATTGTAGTTAGCCACAAAGGTAAACGTTTAACTCTTAATATGGAATGAGATGTTTGCCTTCCTCTAATTGTGGCATTCATCTCTTTATGTTAGATTTTTAACTACTGTTCTGATTCATTCCAGATAGTTTTCTTTTCATTGAAGAGTTGTCGTACAACCTTTTGTCCCAATTAATATCTATTTACATTTTGGTACTTTTTATAATTTGACTGCTTTTCTATAATTAGCCTATACTGTACTGGGTTATAGTTTTCAGTAGCTCATGTAACAAATGTTTGAGTGCTTATTGGATATGGTAAATAGTATGCTAGTACTAACTATGATATTGAGAAATAACAAATACAGTCCTGGCTCTTATGAAATATATAAAATAATTAGCATTTGATAAGTCATGCAATTTAAAACCAGTCTAGGATAAAAGAAATACACCTGTGCATTTTTAAACATCATCAAGACTTGTATAGTCCATTAGGATATCTGATCTGGGAGACTGGCCAATATTTTAAAATTTTGTATTTTGGCGTAATTTCAATCTAAAAAGTTGGAAGAATAGAACTCCTGTGTACCCACATTTGTTGTTTTACATTTTGCTGTGTTTATCATTCTTGCTTTATACTAATCTCTCTATATTTTTTCAGAACAATTTGAGAGTAATTCAGAGACATCAACCTCTTTACCCCTAAATTCTTCAGTGTATATTTTTAAAAAACAAGGATACCATCTTACCTAATTATAGTGAGGTTGTGAAAACCAGAAGATTTACTGATATACTGTTATCTAATTTATAGTCTATATTCAAATTATATCTGTTTATTTTTTCTGTTAGCTTTTTTTCCCCCTTATTCTGGGATCCACTTCAGGATCATGCATTACATTTGGTAATTATGTCTCCTTAGTCTCTTTTAATCGGGAACACTTCGTCAACCTTACTCTTTCTTGACCTTGACATTTTAAAAGTACTGGGCAGCTATTTTGTAGAACATCCCTCAATTTGAATTTGTCTTTTGCTTTCTCGTGATTAGATTGGTTATGCATTTTGGCAGGAATACCACTTAAGAGATGTTCTGCCCTTCTTAGTGCATCATATCTTGAGATTCATGATGTTGGTGTATACCAGTGTTGGTGATGTCAGCTTTGAAAATTTTGTTAAGTTGGTATTCCTCATATGTATCCCTGAAAGTTATTATTTATCTCATTGTAACTAATATGCAATTTGTGGAAAAATAATTTTGGGGAACAGTATATTTACATAGTATAATCAAAACTTCACCCACAAGTTTGAGCATCAATTGATGTTATCTGACCTCATTCCTTCTATAATTATTAGTTGACATTCTGACATAAGGTAATCTTTCCCATCTCCATTATTTATTCAGTTCTTTTTATCTGTATGAACTCATGGATTCTTAATTTTATTCAGTGGTTAAATCCATTGCTGTCGTTCTTTTGGTTCACAAATTGTCCCAGGTTTGGCCAATGGGTGTCTCATCAAGCTGGTTCCAGTGTATTTCTGCCAAAACAAGATATTCCAGGTTAATTTTGTATTTTACCTGTCCATGCTGTGGCATGAGCTCCTTTTCCGAATTTACCTCCCTTCTTTTCAGTGGAAAATAGACTTAGATACCAAAATCTAAGCAGCAGGTTTTAGGACTGTTTTTAAACCTGATTTTTATGATACAGAAGCTGATAATCAGTGTAACCATTTTGTCTAAGGTAACAGCAGCAAAACAGAGTGGCAAAGATTGGTTTAGAATCGTTCTGTAAACTCCAGTATCTTTCCTCCATAGCAGTGTTGTCCAGCAGAAATATAATGGAAGTAAAATAGGTAATTTTAAATCTTCTAATAACCACATTTAAAAAGAATATTTTATTTAACACAATGTGTTAAATATATTATAATTTTAACACTAATCCATGTAGAAATGATTGAGTTAGTTTATATTTTTCAAAATATTAAGTCTTCAAAATCAGGTATTTTACATTGATAGCACA